GACATGTTCAGATAGGAGGGTATCTAATCAATCTATTAACATAAGATATTGATTCCTGGCGCTATCTATTTTGGCTATAAATCACTAAATAAAAGTAGCCAGGAAAATGACAGATTTTCATGGGACAAACAAATTATTGACAGAAAAAATTATTTTAAACGAAGTTTTAGTAAACAATACCCTCTGCGTATATTCTAGAAATGCTTACATAGGATAAGATAAAAAAAATTAGGTTTTGAAAAATGTATGGGAAGTTTTGAAGCTAGTAATTATTGGGAATATTGTTTGTGACATGCCAGGAAAATGACAGAAATTTAAAAGTTGAATTGCATTTTTAAAAGTATTTTATTTTCGAACCAGAGTTAGCTAATAATAATAAAGCTATTAATAATGGCATTAATGAAAGCTTAAAAAATTAATCATGTAATTGTATAGTATTAGATTAACCCTTTGACACAGATGGAACACCGTTGTACCTTTTATATATTTTTTATTCTAACGCTCAAATTACAAGCAAATTTATTTTGGTAATTTTTAATTGTAACAAACCATTACTAAAAAAATATGTTAGATTATCGGAATTTATTTGTGTTAAAATATAAAATCCGAAAGAGTGGTAAATGAGTTGGAGTTTTTTTTCCATTCACATTCAAAAATGTATCAATAACTAATTTTGTAAATTAAATGAATTTCAATGATGAATAACTGTTTTTCTTACCTAAATAACTGCAAATGTACGAAATTGAAAAATTATTGTTTGGGCGATTACCTTTAATCCAGAAAAAACCACCTGTGTTTCATACTGTATTCCATAACCATAAATTATTAAACGCTAAGCAAATATTTTCCACTAATTATTATTATAATTAGCATTTTAATACTTAATGGTTATGAATAACAACATATAACATTTTGACTTAAATTAATACAAAATAATGAGAGAAAAAAGTTTTAAAAATATGTTTAATAAAAATTCTGTGTCAAAGGGTTAATGTTACGTTGATCATTAAGTTACCCTTAAAACTATTCTTAATTCTCTGAGAAATATCTTATAAGTACTAGTTGGAAATTAGTCTTCAATATTAAAATAGAAAAGGAAAAAATAGTCGAAAAATCAATAACAACAAAAATACTTTCGATTATTCCTTTAAAAATCTTCAATAATTTTTTTTAATAATATTTTTCTTTTTTAGATGCAAGCTGCAATAACTCAAACACAACTGAAAACAACAATTCTGATAACTACGTAAGTAATTCTGAGACTGCATTGTTGGATCAAATTATGATTGGTCGCAAAACTCAAGAAAATCAAGTGCTATTTACCTGTCCATTTTGCAATTTCAATCGCACATCAAAACTGGTGGTGAGGGCACACGTTCTGGAACATTCTAAATTGCTTTCAGAGTTAGATTGCCCTCTCTGCTTTTTGGGCTTTAATGAAAAATACTCTTTAGAACGTCACGTGACGCAATTCCATCGGAAAAATACCTCGGAGTTCACGGTGGCTAATTCAAGCGAGAACAACACCATTTCCATTGATACGACGAGCACAGATAAATCGAACGATAGTCAAGAAATGTCAGAAGTTCCATTGGAGTTTATCTTCCATAATGTGTCGAAATTGAAAAATTTCATTGAGCAGCTATCGTTTGAAAAAACGATATACGGAGTTGAAGAATCGTCAAACGGTGCGAATCCTAACACCCAACTCAACTCTCCAATGCAAAGTGTATCAAGCTTTCCTAATAAACTATTGAAAGGTGATAGCTATTCTGACAATATGAATCCAAATAGAAAGAAACAAAGAAAAAGTTATCGTAACATAACCAAAGAGAAGAAAACACGTAATTGGAATTCAAATCATGAAAAAGATGAAGATATTTTCCCTCAATGGAATAACTATCTTCCAATGCTATCTGAATCACCAAATTATACTGTTAATAACTCTGTAGTGCCACATTTTGCGCCAATTTCACCCGTGCCAAATTGTTTGTTTCCTTGTTCAGAATTGTCACTGTACTCTGCAGCAATGAATTCTCAAGCAACTGTTACTCATTGTGGAACAGGAATTGCAAGACAATACTCTTGAAGTTATTTTATTTGCAAAATATAGTAGCAAATGATGCTTCGTAATTGCCGCCCTTAATATCTAAATTAAGAATCTTTGTATTCAAAAATGAAGTCGGTGAAATATACACACTAGGCTTCGCAAATTAATAACTAAGCAAGGAAAAAATCTTTTCAATGTTTCTCGAATCAGTACTGAGGAAATCGGGACTTAGAATATTACAATCATTTTTATTGCTATGTGCTACTAAAAGTTGTCCTGATATCGCTTTTTTTTTAACTCCTCTGCTTCTTTCTTCAATCACATAGGATTTGATGCTTTTAATCTGCATTTTCCCTGATGATTCATCACGTTTTTACAACGATTTTGTATTTTTCTCGCTCATACATAAATTTTCTATCCGAAAAGTATTATTTTTTAATTTTGACAAAGATTCCAAAATTATATATGAAGGGCATTTATCACGAAACACTATCTATATATAACTGAATGTGAGGCTAGTGTACCATATACACCGAAGAGCCATTACATTATGACCACCCTCCATCTATAACAATTGGCTCGCCCAGGTTTTTTCATGGGGCACATTAGGACCCATAATCCTCATAGAACAATCCCTGAAAAAATTTAGCTACTTGAACATAGTTGCAGACCAGGTTCACCCATTCATGACAACAATTTTTTCTGCGGGGGATGGTGTTTATCAACAGGATAATGCACGATGTCATAAGGGTCGAATCGTCATGGATTGGTTCAAGGAACATTCCAGTGACTTTCAAGTCATGTCTTGGCCGCCAAATTCACCTAACCTTAATCCAATAGAGCATTTGTGGTCCTACTTGGAAAACTAAATTCGTGCTGCCACGCTACCCCCTCGCAATGTGAGGGAATTGCAGGACCAGTTGGTGAGCGCTTTGTGCCAGATACCTCAGACTACCTATCAGCACCTTGTGGAATCAATGCCACGGCGGGTGCTAGCAGTTTTGAGGGCTAAAGGTGGTCCTACATGTTATTAGCAGGGTGGTCATAATGTAATGGCTCTTCGGTGTATATAGCTGCCAACTCTACTGGGTTTTGCCAGTTTCGCCTGGTCTGCTGGTGTAACAAAAATTCTTATGGTTTTTGCATATTTTAGAAAAATCCTTAGAATTGGTAAAGTGTCTGAAAAAAATTACCTAATTAACACTAAAAAGACGGAAAAATGGTATATACCTATAATGCCCAAAAGCCGTCAAAATGACTGGATTATAAAAGAATAAATAATGCGTAAAGAAATTTGGTTAAAATTAATTTTTAATATTTTTTATATTATTCGAAATTATGTAATCAGTTATTAGTAAATATTAACACTAAAAAAATTATATGTTGTACAAAATTCTAAGAAATTGTGTCATTATATACATCATTGTTTTTCTAATTGAAATTAAAAGGAGTCAAAATGACTTCCCTAAGCAATCTAGTGTTAAGTAAGCATTGCTTACAGAAATCAATTGAAGCTTTTTTTAATGCTCTAAAATTCGATTTTTTTTTTTAATTTATACCTCTCTAATTTTATTATACCTATCTACAATGAATTTAATATCTATTACTATGATTATAAAAGTATAAGGAACAAATCATTTTTAATTCGAGTTCATTTAAAGTCAATTAGAAATGAAAAATATTGTTCCAATTCAAATTCAGTCATTAGTGTAATACATAATAGTAGACCAGGAAATTTATATTCTGTAAAATCTAATGGGTTTTTTTTCTTTTCGTGTTGGCAGCTATGCATATATAGTTAAAAGAAGAATACATATTTATGCATGAGTTGGGCTGTTTTGTATCGTATTGGCCGATTTTATGTAATCAGCATGCAAGTTAACATTTACTGGCTTATTCCAGTAAATGTTAACTGCTCCAGTAAATGTCCTACTTATTATAGCTTATTCCAGTCCATAGGAATTATGTGCTTTCAAGGTCGTAAAATTCTTCATTCTTCTCATATATAAACTAAAAGAATAAGACTCTAGAATCATATTTAATGTTCCTTAAACTTACAAGAAGTCATAACTATTAGAAGGTTTGTCCAATCAACTTGTTTAAACGGACCTTGTGAAATGTTTATTTTTTTCCCTATTATTACAATATTAGACAAGGACGAGACTTATACACACACACGCCAATAAATTAAAAACCTTAGAATAATATATTTTTGTTTTTCTTTGCATCGCGCATACGTATTCGGAGGTGAGCATCGATTCTATAGGAGTTATGTCCAAAGAATGCCATGCATATCGGCTACGTTGACTGTAAATTAAATGGAAGTGGAAATTGCTGATGGGTTCTTTTCTAACATGTCCGAAACATTTTTTATTAGGTTAAGATCCGGATTTTGAGAAGAATTGATAAAACTCAAATTGATGTTCATTAAACCAATTTTGAACGTTTCTGTCGCGATATACCGTTGCAGTATCGTGCAGAACTCTCGGATTGCAGGATGTATCCAGGTGTTGCATGACTTTTTGTTTAGCCTCAAGAAAAACCAAGCCTCCACTTCCAGTCTAAAAATAATCCACATGGCGCATCAACAAAAAAACGAAAAGTGGCGACTTAAATAAAACAGGAAACCAGCCACTTTTCCCCCTATTGCTTTTTTTAAAAATCATTTAATAATAAAAAGTATACATGAATGTAGAAAGATACCCTTTAAAACAGAATTTTCATTAAAATGTCACCATTCAAAATTTTGATCCTTCAGAAGATGGAGATTCCCGTGGAAGGAGAGTTCATTCATTAACATTTCACATATTTCAAAGTTGTCATGAACCGTGAGTAACCGAAACCAAGATAATGTCGACTTTCACCTGTAAAATGCCAACAATCACGTAGTCGAATGGGTGAATGTCCGAAATATTTGTTATATCCGATTTATTCGTTGATATTATTGTATTTATTCGATATTTTAATATCTGATGAGGAGAGATATCAGTGTTCGGAGTACCGGTTGAATGCACACTGGGCAGTGGCGCTTGAACTTAACAAAACAATGATATAGGCCATACCGGGCAGTGGCACTTCGCTAGACTTATTATATATTTCGAACATTTACCCAAGCGACTATGTGATTGTCAACATTCACCGGCGGAAGTCAACAACCTCCCATTTCTGTCACTCACAGTTACCTTAAATGTATTTTGCTTCAAAAATTGTTTACAATAAGTTCTTTAAAAATTCTACCGGCCACTGGCTACTCACTGTAAATTTAAATTTTCAGGTCTATCTCATGTCCCACAGGAACACCAGATGTTTGTACAGGTCGAACAAAGAAAGAGAAAATGTTTCTAATATATCTGTCAGTTTTGTGGTGTTCAAATACTACCGATGAAGTGTAGAAATAATTTATTCCAGAAATTATCTAGCCAATGTGCAGATGGATCCATGAAAGAGCCTAAAATTTGGCAATCTGTAAACTGCATTGATAAGCATGCTTGTAAAAGTGAAAATAAAATTTTTGCTGGATCATAATGTTATGTATTCCTTTTTCGTTATCTAAAAAAATCAAGTGACTACCATCCATCATGACGCATTATTGGGTCAAATCGATTCTCAATCACTTTAGAAAAATAAAATTCCAATACTTAAACGATTTGAAACATTATTAAAAAAATAAACATGTCATTCATTTCTCTTTTCTTCCTTTTTTTTTAATATCTAAAGAAATAAGTAAATAAATGCAATCCATGAATGGGCTGATAAAAGGATCGAAGCTAACTTTCGATCTTTAACCATACGGCGATAACTGTACATTATCTGAGCAAATTGTGCAAAACGCTTGATTCCGCACATCACCCTAGTTAATATGCAAATTAACTAGGTAATCTACACTTTAAAGCCTTTCGAACTTTAACAGTTATATATAATTTAGAAAGATGCAGCGCTGTTTTCATAGACAGACGAGTTTATGGATAAAATAAGTTTTCTTAAACTTTAAGTAACGTTCTCTTGAAACAACGTTTTCATGCTCGCACACAGAATAACCTATTTTTGAGCGGATTTGACTGAAAATCTATCTACGTGAGTATTACAATTGTAATATAGTGACAACGTGCAATTTTTTTATTTATTAATTTTTTTTATTGTGTATAAGATTAAAAACTATGCATATAATCACACGCGTTAAAAATTCCGTAAAAATGATGAACTCCAAAATCAGTATTCTGACTTCGTTCGGCCTCAGCTTTGTCATTGATAAGAAGTCGCCATTAAAGAGTTTACGAAAGCTTAGTTCACCTATATATTAGTAAGTACGAAAAAAAAGTCGTATGTCTTCCTCATTTACGAGCAATTTCGCATTATCTTGGAAAAAAAGTTATTTTTCGAGTTGATATTGGTTGCGTGTTGCCAAGTCATTTTACTCAAGAACTATCAAACTGCTGTATTTTTGAACAAATTCTTTTCTTTATATTCGTTTATTTTATTTTGATAAACGTAAATACCTAGAATGTGTATGAAGGGCATAGAAGGAGGGAGTGTGCGCATTTTTAACAAATTTGTTGAAAAACCGTATTTAATATAATCTTTTTTTTTTTTTTTTAATGTGCACCGTGAAAAGAGGAACGACTCGCAAATTTTAAAAAGTTGACGCAATATTTTTTAAGAGAAGATACTTCGATGTTGCTTATCTTAACACATGACTCTCTCTCTCTCTGAAAGTTTATATTTTACAGTGTGCAATTAAATTTCATAATTTTACTATCTGATTCTTGAAGAGGAAATTTTTTTATTTATTTCTAATAGTAAAGTTTATTAAAAAATATAATAAAGTAAACATGGTCGACGATAAGGGTTTTGTGTTTCTTAACGATGGTTCACCCACTCATTTTTCATATAGCCACAATACGAGGGAGGTCTTGGATGTAACCATTGTTAGTCCTGACCTCAGCCCCCGCCTGTAACTGGAGAGTGGTTGAGAACATAGGAAGTGATCATCTTCCAATCCTGTTAGAACTGAATAAGAGGCAACCAGCTTACATGTTCAGCAATAGGCGATGGAACTTCAAGCGTGCTGATTGGCAGGCTTTCACTGATCTCAACGAAAGTTTGGTTTGTGAGAAACCCCTTACTCATAACCTAGAGACTGACTGGCCCTCCTTCAAACAAATCATTTACAACGCTGCTGGCCAGTCCATTCCAAGGGGCAAATTTAAAAGGAAAAGACCTTTCTTAACCAGCAAAATGCCTGCCCTCCAACCTCTAATTGCAGAGAGAAGACAAATCCTAAATGATCTGGACTCTGTCCATACTGACGCCAACAAAGTCTTACTAAACAGGGTGAATGCATAATTAGAAAAGATGTACGCTCAGATCAAGAGAGACAGGTGGAATGATTTTTGTGCTGGTCTGGACTCAAGGTCATCCAACGGCAAATTGTGGAAGCTGGTGAAGGGCATTAGTAAAGACCAGCCCCAATTCGAAAAGTGCAATACTATACAATCTCAAGATGGCGCCTTGGCTCAGAATGATGAACAGGCAGCTAACATTTTAGGAGAGGATTACCAATCAGTGAATAGCCTGAAATTTTCTGGTAACGACGAGTATGTTAAAACTAGTGCT